TCGCTACAAAATATTTTGAGAAAACTACTGAACACCTTTATGGTGCTAGTGTTAAAAAATTAAATATTAATTACAAAATTTCAAAAACTCATGTTTGTAATTCAAATATTTGTTTCAAAAATGTGTTTTATTTAGTAAAAGATTTAGATCAAGATGTTATTCTTGGTACTCCTTTCATTGTTCAAATCTATCCTTTTAAAACTGATTACAAAGGATTAACTACAAAAAATTTTGGAAAGAAAATATTCTTTGAATTTTCAAATCCTCCTTCCTATAAAGATGTAAATTCTTTAAAAAAAGCTGCAATTTCAAAAATTATTCATAACATCAATTTAAAAAGAAATTATGTGCAATTTCTCAAAAAAGAAATTTCATTTCAAAAAACTGAACAAAGAATACAAGATTCTTTTATCAAAAATCAAATTATTAATTTACGAAAGAAAATTGAACAAGAAATTTGTTCAACTATTCCAAATGCCTTTTGGGATAGAAAGAAACATATTGTTTCTCTCCCATACAATTCTGATTTTCATGAATCAAATATTCCTACGAAATCTCGTCCTATTCAAATGAAAAAAGAATTGCTTGATTTTTGCATCGAAGAAATCAATGATTTACTTGAAAAAGGTTTGATCCGTCCAAGTAAATCTCAATGGAGTTATTCTGCATTTTATGTTAATAATTCTGCATAAATTGAAAGAGGCGTGCCTCGTCTTGTTATCAATTACAAACCACTCAATACAGCTCTTCAATGGATTCATTATCCAATTCCTCAAAAGAAAGATCTTTTGAATCGTCTTTCCAAAGCCATTATCTTCTCAAAATTTGATATGAAGTCAGGATTCTGGCAAGTTCAAATTAAAGAAGAAGATAGGTACAAAACTGCATTTAATATTCCATTCGGACAATACGAATGAAATATTATGCCTTTCGGTCTCAAAAATGCCCCTTCTGAATTTCAAAAAATCATGAATGATATTTTCAATCCCTTTTCAAATTTCATTATTGTGTATACTGCTAAAAAGATTATTTTATTTCAAACAAAACTTCGTTTTCTTGATCATTTTATTCAAAATTCTACAATTACACCAATTCAAAGAAGTCTAGATTTCACTGACAAATTTTCAGATGAAATTTTAGATAAAAAAAGTTTGCAACGCTTTTTTACTTTGTGTCAATTATGTGGCCGATTTTGTCAAAAATATACGTCAAGTCTGTGCCCCATTATTCAAAAGATTACAAAAGAACCCTGACCCATGGAATCTTGAGTGTACGCATGCGATCCAAAAAATCAAAAAGATGGTCAAAAATATTCCCTGTCTTTCAATACTTGACCCCACAGCCTCAATTATTGTTGAAACAGATGCCTCAAACATAGGATTCGGTGGAGTGTTAAAACAAATTTCACTAGAGTCATCTCAAGAACAGTTAGTCAGATTTCATAGTGGAGTCTGGTCTGGTCCTTAAAAGAATTACTCCACTATCAAAAAAGAGATTTTATCAATAGTTCTTTGTATCTCAAAATTTCAAGATGATTTGATCAATAAAAAATTTATTTTGAAAACTGATTGCAAAGTCTCAAGAGATGTTTTACAAAAAGACGTAAAAAATCTTGTTTCAAAACAAATCTTTACAAGATGGCAGGTTATTTTGTCCTATTTTGACTTCGAAATTCTTTATATTCAAGGAAAATCAAACTTCTTGGCAAACTTCCTCACAAGAGAGTTTATTCAAATAAGTGAAAATGAGTTGGGCAAAGCAAGTTGAAGAAGAGGATCAAAATCCTTTTCAAACAAAAAATTCAATTCCCTTCTTTGAAGATCTCTCAAAAGATAAAAAAGAAGCTTCATCTTCTTCAAATACTCTTTCAACCTTTGTCAAAAAATCAGATCAAAAACTCAAACAAAAAGCTGAATCATCAAACCCTTCAAACTACAAAAAAGCCATCCAAAGCACTGGAAAGCTCCCTCAAATCAACCCTCCAAATACCTTCAAATACTTTACCAAGAATATTTCTAAAACTGTTCTTGACATGGAAACCTCTTGGCTCAATAGATATAAAGGTCTTAATGAATGTCTATCAAGCATCTTTCCTCAAAATTTTTGGTTCATGCCTTCCAATATTCAAAAATCTAGAGAATATTAAGAGACTATACTTCTTTTGACTGGATCAACCATAATTTCTCATACTCCTGAACCAAAAGACAAATCAAAAATCATGTTTTCAAAAATCAGTATTACAAGAGTTTTGTCTTACAAAGACTGGGAACAAAATCCTTGAGAAGAAAAGAGACTTCGTCTCTCAAAAACATTTTTCACTACTCAAGAAACTTTCAATTATTTTGATTACCAGAATGCTTCATATAAAGTCTTTCTTTTTAGACCAATTACCCATTCTTGGTTTATTCTTTTTAATCAAAATTGTAATCCTCATTTTCCAAGTTGGTTTCAAACATGGATTCTGTATCATGGACTTGAGGAGCAAATTTTGCCCAGTCTCTCTTTTCAAGGATTTGAATATTTCAAAAATAACGCAAAACCTTTTCTGAAATTTCAAGAAAATCTTTTGTTTCAATTCGCCTTCCATTTGAAAGTTTCATGAATTTTTTATTGGGACTTCTTTCAATATCAAAATCCGAAAGATGATTTTGCTTGTCAAAAAATTACAAGAAGATTCAAGATCAAATAGTGGTCAAAATTCAAAGAGACAAATTGCTGTCCCAAAACAGTTCAATCATGGATTCAAGAATGAAAAAATTTAGGTGTACCTAAATTCTCTAAAAAGGAACAAGAAAGTCAAGCTGATTTCTTGACTGAAAAGCAAGGGATTATCTCAATGTTATCAAAATGTAAAGATCCTAAAGAACTCTTAGAAATTTACGAACAAATTTCTAAACAAGGATTTTCAAAATCAAAAGAATCAGATGATGAACAAGAAGAATCTCAATTTTCTCAAGAAACTGATAATGGTGATGACTTAATCGATTTATGTGATGACTATACAGAGTTTCTTGCTCAAGAAAAAGTTTCAAAGAAATGACTACATGGACCCAGTTTTCTTGATGATTTAAGAAATTCAAGGGTCCACAAATTAAGAAAAATTCTCCTCAATTTTTGTCATGTTCAAAATCAATAGTGCAAAATTTGTCAAGATACTAATCAAATATGTGGAAAACATCAATCTCTACTTTAATAAAAAAAAAGTTATCTTTATTAAAGAAAGTCAAAAGTTGAAAACTTTTGTCAAAAGTTGGCTCTACTTTTCAAGATACTTCATGATAATGTCATCCACTTCTCTTTTCGAAATTCTTTCTCTCAAATGAAAGAAATTTCAAGTCCGGATTACATTATAAGATGACCTCAAGAGATCAGTAGAAGGCAGAGCGAATTCAGCAAGAAGAAGTTTCTGTTTTCTTCATAATTTGTCTCTCAAATTTATTTTCATTTTCAAGAATTTTTGTAATAATTTTTCTTCTTCAATAAAATTTTATTTATTTTCATAAATTTCTGTTCTTCTATCTCCATACCAGGTCCCCTGGACCTTATATGGTATCAGAGCCATAAGTGAACAAGTTAGAAAAGATTTAATTTTATATAATAGACACTGTTCAAAATAGGTGAAATTGGTCTATTTCCTGGATGTCTTCTAAATAGACGTTGGTCAGCCTGTGTTAGGTGATCCCGTTGGGTGGTCCCATTTGTAGGCTTGGTAAGAACCCAGTTTATCCTATTTTACTATTTTTATTGTGTTTAATTATTCTGATTTTATTTTTTCAATTATGTCTTCGGTTTCAAGTTGGCTTAGGAGATCTAGGTCTAAAAATAGACAACAAAATCAAAAAGAAAATAGATCAAATGTTTTTCAAAATGAAGAAGAAGTTGATAATGCATCCATATCATCTGCATCTGCATCAAATGATTTTAACTCAAATGAACTTCAAATTGCACAAATTGAACAACGTCTTCAAAATTGGACTATTCCAAAGATAGATAAAAATTCTATCTATGAAATAGGAAAAGTTGACTTTACTCAAAATTATGTTATCAAAACTTTTGAACAAACTATTTCAATTAATAGTTCAAATACATACATCAATTTATTTTCAAAAGAATCAATTGAATCCCATAGAAAGAAGTTCAAATATCTTCATGTTGAATTAGTTCAAATTGCTGTCAAATCATTGCTTAGACTTGGTTTAGACATTCCAATATTACTTACTCTTAGAGATAAGAGACATCTCAAATTTGAAAATTCATTATTATCACTTCTTGAATCAAATCTTGAAAGTGGTCCAGTATTTTCATATTGTTATCCAAATTTTTCAATTAAATTATCTGATGGAGCTATTCTTAACTCCCTCAATCTTCATATTCAAACTAAAAATCTTGAGTTTGATAATCGATCTAATGCTTTTGCTGTAATATATAGAATCTATTACAAATTCATGAATACTCAACTCAATATTGGAGCTCTTCGTTCTTCTCCAAAAGAAGAAAGCCTTTTGGTAGAAGTTAATCCTTTTCATTCAAATGTTGAAATTCCTAAAAGAATCCCATGGAATCTTCAATATAGAGGACTTGAATGAAATTTTGAAAATGTTCAAACTCCAGTTCCAGCTCAAATACAAACTATTCCAAATGAAATTTTAACTTTTTCTAATGGAAAAGCTAAAGTTAATTTCAAAGGATTTTCTTCTACGATTCAAAGGTCTTTCTCATCAAGATCTTCTTATATATATATGGAATCCCTCAGGAAAACCTGAACCATGTGAAAATGCTTCAATATATCAATGATTCTTAATGTACAAAAACGAAACGACCAAGAAAACCCTAGCTCCACGATCCATTAACAAAATCACTACAAAAAAATAAATAACAAACAAGCATCCCAAATTCCTTTACATTGTTATCAATCAGATCCATGGAAAATAAGAGACGAAATCCAAAATAAATAACGAAACAATAAAAAGTGAGTACCAAGAGAAGAAGGAAAAAAAAACCTCGGGTTCGGACAAGGGCTTGCACTGCATGAGCTGAGCAATCTGCTCGTCCAGATTTCCGTGTGTGGTTACAGCCACCAGATCCGCACTCATCTTGCTTATTTCTCTATCTTATATCAGATCCACTCCTGTTTTCCAATATCACGCCGATTCCCTTATAGTTCCCTTCTCAATTAATTCCTCAATGGTCCAAGATTCAGGGCACCATCAGTACTCGAAGTGATGGATAAACAGAAGTGTGTTAGTGAGAAAGACGAGAGAGCCCGCGAACCTGTAAAAGGTTGGAAAACGAGATGGCGAGGAGGAGTAAAATGGAAATTTGTCAATCTGCTCTTGTACCATTTTTTTTTTTTTTTTAATCTCGAACGAATTAAAGAAAATAAAATTTAATATAGAAATTTAAGAGAATAAAATTGTACTCATATTGTACTCTCAAAATTTAATTTTTATAATTCAAATTTTTTGTAATGATGAAATATTATAAATGAGCAATCTTTTTATATTACATTTGATACATAAAAATTAATTATTAATACATAAATATAAACACCCATTAAAATTTCTAGATACATGAACATGAATAAATTTCTTTATAATAACTCTAGATTTGTATAATTCAATATTCATTAAATGAAAATTCATTGAATTTAGATTAATGTAAATGTAATTAATTGAGAATTAATAACAAAATTTCTAGATATATAAATACGAATAAATTCATTTATAATAACTCTTGATTCATTTTATTCTAGATAAATTCATTAAATCTAGGTTAATATTGTAATTAATTGAAAATTAATACAACAAATTTCATAAATAACAATAATTATGTAGTATTTATTACATATCGAAAAATAAAAAGTAAGGTATTATTGAAATAATTAAATTGTATGGAGGTTAAAATGGTCCAAAGAGTTATTCTCCCTTGATGTAATATTTAAATATATATTCTAGATTTTTTTTTTTTTTTTTTGATAACCCAGGTGTCCCAGCTTAGCCGGACTAAATCCTGGACCTCTAGCCCCCGGCCCCTCAGTGACTAGTGGAGGTAAATCGCAGGTTGTGCCCTTGTTGGTTCCCAGGTTCCCACATGGCTTTTACTCCTTCCCCAAAGGGACCCTCCTCCATGGTTATTACATCACCAAGCTGCTCCAACCCTTCCTCTGGTTATTACATCACTTGGCTGCTCCAACCAGGAATCGAACTCCCCACACTTGGTTCCAGAGCCCCCCAATGTGATTGTTCCGCCAACTTGAATGTGCCCTGGGGGGCATATATATTCTAGATTTACATTTATCAATCTTTGCTCATGTAGCAATTATTTTCATCTATGTTTTATCTAATTCTTATCTTCAACATTTTTATTAAGGAAAAGTCCAATGTGAACGTAGCAATGTATATGAATTATGTACATCATGCATGAACCTTTTATTAATGCGTTTCGTCTTTTTTGATGATTTACATTAAAAATATTTTGTTTTCTTCATCTGAAGTGAGGGAAAATATTTTCTTTTCTTACTTTTTATTTATTTTTATTTTTTAAAAATATAATAAAAAAACAATTTATTTTACGTCATTTCAATGGACTTTGAGACATAAATTTATTATCAAAACAAAGTCCCTATTAGGTAGAAATTCAAATTCAAATTTTAATTTAAGTAAAAGTCAATAATTAATTTTAACCACTCAAATTTACATATTTTTTATCGTACATTTCATAAACTTTTGTCAAAATATATTAAAAATCTATTTTACTCTCTACCAACTAAGGTGCAAAATGCGTTAACTAATAAAAAGTTTGATGATAAAAATAACATGACAAAAGTTTATGAAATGTACGATAAAAAATTTGTAAATTTGAGTGTTAAAAATCTATTTTACTCTCTACCAACTAAGGTGCAAAATGCGTTAACTAATAAAAAGTTTGATGATAAAAATAACATGAAAAATCATTAAGGACATAAGTATTATAATGAGCAAAAATTAACAACTCAATAAGGATAGTTTATTAGCACCACAAATTTTATTTGTTACATTATATTTAAATTGCATTTAGACTCCTCAATAAATGCTTGATGTAGCAATTATTTTCTTTATTTTTTTCGTCGAATTTTTATCTTCGACGTTTTATTAATTAGTACATTTCATCTTTAATGATCATGTCTATCAAAATATTTTGTTTTCATACTTTGAAATGAGAGAAAAATACTTTTTTCATACTTATTTATTTATTTATTCTTTAAAATATGATGAAAAATAATTTTTTATACATTATTTTAATGGACTTTTTTAACATAAACTATTATTAAATACAAAATGTGTTAACTAATGAAAAGTTTAATAATAAAATTGTCATAAAAAATCGTTAGGAACCATAAATCCTATAATGAATCGTTAAGTGTAATTAAAATATGGTGCAAAAAAATAAAAATGTAGTTCAAATATAATTACACTGAAAATAGTTAAAGAGAAAAGAGGGAAAAAAATGGAAAATCATTATTAAAAAATTGAGTTAATTAAATTAATACTTACCAAACTTACATTAGATTTCTTAGGACCCCTTGAGTAGATTCCGAGGTCCCTATTAGAACCCCGTTTGATGTTAATTATTTCAAAACACTTTTTTCTCGTACTAATTTTCAACCACATATTATCATAATAAAATATTTTACACATAAAGTCAAATTTTTTTAAATTTTAAATTATAAATTCTTAAAAAAATCACTATTACAAAACTCATTCAAATAAAATGATGAGCATCAAGGCCTAGGTATTATTGGTAATCTCCTAAACAACTTCTAAAATAACTCTAAGATTTCTCGACGCACTCTCAAAGTTCCAAGTAAGAATGTGAAAGGAAGGTAGAACCTTTTTAGATAAGGTCACTATCGAGATTAGATTCTTACAGTGAGCATTTGAAACCAAAAATTAGAGAATGAGTCTTTATTTCACCAAAAAGGGTCTTCGAAAAAACATGAGCCTTAAGTAGAGTGAATGAACTTGAACGAGAGTAGTAATACATCTGAGTTTCATATAGCTATTTGCCATTACATTAAAAATTTGAACTGAAAAACCACAATAGGATTAATCCACCAAATGTTTCCAATCCAAGCCATTTGTTTCTTATGCAGAAACCATCACTATTTTGCTGGGCACGTGCTCGAGGAGTACTACTGGTTCCTGCAGGTGCACTCGTAGGATTGGCTTCAACTGTAGGATTTGGCCCTCCTGCTACTGGGGTGCTTGCAGTATTGTTGCTGGAATTTTTACCAAATTGATAGAACACTTGAGCATCTGGTGAATTTGGGGGCAACTTGAGTAGAGCTGCGATAAAAATCAATTAAAATGATATAATTGTAAAATCCATACCGGGATCGAGGCCTATTTAAGTGTTTGTTCCGGGATGTGATTAGAAAATATAATGATATCGACTACTACCCAACCTTCTCTACAACACAAGCTTCAAAGGCATAGTAGTACATGGTACTCCATAAGACGGATATGACTCGAAACATAATAGTGGCACTCAAGATTTTTTTTCTATATTACTAGTGTATGGTCCACCATAGTAAACAGACCAATAAGTAGTTAAAATTCGAATCCGAGTCAACTCAGACTCTTAAATTGATTTTGGTAAAGAATGCTACTTTAACTTCATGTTTAGTACGTAATACTAGATATGACTCGAGCACAGCATAATCCAGAAAATTTTAACACTTTTTTTTGATGATAAAAATAACATGAAAAATCATTAAGGACATAAGTATTATAATGAGCAAAAATTAACAACTCAATAAGGATAGTTTATTAGCACCACAAATTTTATTTGTTACATTATATTTAAATTGCATTTAGACTCCTCAATAAATGCTTGATGTAGCAATTATTTTCTTTATTTTTTTCGTCGAATTTTTATCTTCGACGTTTTATTAATTAGTACATTTCATCTTTAATGATCATGTCTATCAAAATATTTTGTTTTCATACTTTGAAATGAGAGAAAAATACTTTTTTCATACTTATTTATTTATTTATTCTTTAAAATATGATGAAAAATAATTTTTTATACATTATTTTAATGGACTTTTTTAACATAAACTATTATTAAATACAAAATGTGTTAACTAATGAAAAGTTTAATAATAAAATTGTCATAAAAAATCGTTAGGAACCATAAATCCTATAATGAATCGTTAAGTGTAATTAAAATATGGTGCAAAAAAATAAAAATGTGGTTCAAATATAATTACACCGAAAATAGTTAAAGAGAAAAGAGGGAAAAAAATGGAAAATCATTATTAAAAAATTGAGTTAATTAAATTAATACTTACTAAACTTACATTAGATTTCTTAGGACCCCTTGAGTAGATTCCGAGGTCCCATTAGAACCCCGTTTGATGTTAATTATTTCAAAACACTTTTTTCTCGTACTAATTTTCAACCACATATTATCATAATAAAATATTTTACACATAAAGTCAAATTTTTTTAAATTTTAAATTACAAATTCTTAAAAAAATCACTATTACAAAACTCATTCAAATAAAATGATGAGCATCAAGGCCTAGGTATTATTGGTAATCTCCTAAACAACTTCTAAAATAACTCTAAGATTTCTCGACGCACTCTCAAAGTTCCAAGTAAGAATGTGAAAGGAAGGTAGAACCTTTTTAGATAAGGTCACTATCGAGATTAGATTCTTACAGTGAGCATTTGAAACCAAAAATTAGAGAATGAGTCTTTATTTCACCAAAAAGGGTCTTCGAAAAAACATGAGCCTTAAGTAGAGTGAATGAACTTGAACGAGAGTAGTAATACATCTGAGTTTCATATAGCTATTTGCCATTACATTAAAAATTTGAACTGAAAAACCACAATAGGATTAATCCACCAAATGTTTCCAATCCAAGCCATTTGTTTCTTATGCAGAAACCATCACTATTTTGCTGGGCACGTGCTCGAGGAGTACTACTGGTTCCTGCAGGTGCACTCGTAGGATTGGCTTCAACTGTAGGATTTGGCCCTCCTGCTACTGGGGTGCTTGCAGTATTGTTGCTGGAATTTTTACCAAATTGATAGAACACTTGAGCATCTGGTGAATTTGGGGGCAACTTGAGTAGAGCTGCGATAAAAATCAATTAAAATGATATAATTGTAAAATCCATACCGGGATCGAGGCCTATTTAAGTGTTTGTTCCGGGATGTGATTAGAAAATATAATGATATCGACTACTACCCAACCTTCTCTACAACACAAGCTTCAAAGGCATAGTAGTACATGGTACTCCATAAGACGGATATGACTCGAAACATAATAGTGGCACTCAAGATTTTTTTTCTATATTACTAGTGTATGGTCCACCATAGTAAACAAACCAATAAGTAGTTAAAATTCGAATCCGAGTCAACTCAGACTCTTAAATTGATTTTGGTAAAGAATGCTACTTTAACTTCATGTTTAGTACGTAATACTAGATATGACTCGAGCACAGCATAATCCAGAAAATTTTAACACTTTTTTTTCTTTTCTTACCATTAGATATTGTAAAATCCATATAGCAGACCATGAGCTGAATTGACCGCAAAAAAGCTCACAAGTTAGACAACTAAAAATGACTCAATAGAATAAGAATTAATCTATTTGTAGGTTAAATTTGACATCCTCCTATGTGTAAGAAATCTAGTCAGAGATTTGAATAAATGTGGTTAAAATCAATGGTCATGATTGTGTCACATCCGACAATGTCAACCAAATTGTCAAACTTTAATGTACATGTACCAAAATTGATAGCATAATTGACAAGATTTTAAATTTATTTTCATTTAATATTGACAAGTACTGTACAGTCTATATTACAAAAGAATCATAGGCTGCCAAAACTGAATGTAAAAGGTCCATTTAGACCTTTGAAGAAAGGATAGTGTAGTTACCAGGGCATTGGGAAATATTGGCAGGGGTATTGCAAACTTGAGGGAGATTTAAAGCAAGTGTAACATTGATATTGAGGCCTAAATCTGGATCATTTTTGTCTTTAATAACCACACAGAGGCACTTCTTGTTTGTTTTCAGCACTTGTTTGAGTCCACTGCAGCAATCTGGTGTGGGGGCATTGGCAGTACCCCCAACATAAGGAAGACATGTTGCTAAACCAGCCAATGATTGTGCACACTCTTCTTTGTCCTTGGAGTCATCTGACTTTGCACACCCAAATAACATTAAAACTGAAACGACGAAGAATGAAAATCTCACACTCATGGTGTAGGAATCTGTGTTTTGATGGTGTTGTGAACTCAACAAGGAAATAGATACAGAGGTTTTAGGCCAGATAAGGTTAGTATTTAAAGAAAAGGGCAAAAAGTGGTAGTGGGGAATAGGAATTCCAGACTACCTTGTTGTCCAATCTCAACAGAGTTCAAGATGTTACTTCTTATTAACAAATAGAACGAAATTAACACATTTTGCCACGTCTCGATTGAAACATTGTATCTTGACATCTTTTCATTTAGTCCTTATTTGTCATCTAATTTTTCAAAATTCCTTTTTTTTTCCTCCAAATTCATTTTCAATCATGCATTTGCACAATAAAATATTTTACACGTAAATTCAATTTTTTTCTACTTTTCAACCTCAAGTTCTTTAAAAAAATCATTATTTTAAAACTCATTCCCCCCCCCCCCCCCCCCCCACCCCAAAAAAAAAAAAAAAAATTAAAAAAAATCTTTTTTTTAAAACTCCCCCCCCCCCCCCCCTCCCTCCAACCCAAAAAATAAAAAAATAATTAAAAAAAATCCTTTTTTTAATGACTACCAAAGGCTTAGTAAGAAAATAATGCTGATATGTCAAAAATATAGTGGACGATAACAATTTCAAGATAACTCGTAACTCTTGAATTAGAAAATTTATTGGGGGTGCTAACTTAGGGGGTGAGATGGAGTGGGGATATCTTGTTCTTAGTGCTTGTATATAGGTCAAAAGTGTTTAGACATTACTTTTCACATTTTTTCCCTTTTCTCTGGTTCTTTGTACAAATATTGTATGTGAAAAGAAGAATTTTCAAAGTGTCAAGGTTGGTGATAAATGATGAATGACAATGTGTCAACAAATGAAGACTCAAAAGTTGAGTTGTGAGTAATGTGGATGAAAGTGGACAAAGAGAATGTCACTTCACCAACCCACTAGAGGTAATCCTCAAATGGGCTTATTTATTATAATATTAGATGGTAGTAGACTCCAACAACTTCATGGTATGACATCATTTGGCAATTTTATGACATCACAAGGTCTTCAGCAGCATAGGTCCTCCATATTGGAGAAGGGATTAGGAAGAAATGGCATTCATGGAAAGAATTTTGCTTATTATAGAATTATGAATGGAGGGAGAAGAAAAATAAAAAGGCAGAAAATGGGCGAAGTTCATCGGCTCTCGCTAAATTCAATTTTTCTTGAATTATTGAATTTTAATGTATTTTTTAATTTTGTTACTATCACTATCTTCACCAAAATTGACGGCAATTACTTAGTTGGCAACGTAATAGGTATTTCACGTAATCACTATGGGACACTTTTTTTAAAGGATGGTAAGACAACATCTCTATAGTAAAAGGTTAGACAATTTCTTTTTTATAATTTAACACTTGTACTATGTGTAACAATGATAAATTGACATTTCATTTTAGATAACGTGGAAGGTGTGTTACGCCATAACTACCAATTAAGTAATCTTTATCAATTTAGGAGATTGTAAATAATATAGGAATACATTAAAATTGGGATGATCAAATTCGGATAAATTAAAATTTAATGACCTAATTGAGATTTCTCCAGAAGTTCAATAACCATAAATGAAATTTACTTGCAGAAAAGAGATGAAACGGGCCGTGGATCACGAAGTTGGGCCACATTTTATGGATCAATATGTGGGCCTTTATTTTAAGGCTCACATAGTTAGCCCGTTTCGTTACCCGTTAATAATGTTTATTAAAGGGGAAAAATTCATCTATACCATACTTCTAAGAATACACTTTCAATATTGACAAACTTGAGAATTTTTTTCAAAAATAATGTTACAAATAAAATCATGATAATATTTTAATAATTTATTCATTTATTTTGACTTAATTAATGAAAACTGAAAATGGATAATCTACTATAAATTGGATTAAATCTCTATCACCTCCTAAAATAGAGATTATGTTATATTTCAACTAAATTATCTCTCCAAACACCTCGACAGAAACCACCATCATCGATCACCTTCCACAACTCAAACCAGGTGAATTTTTAGAATTATAATTTCATTCAGTCAAAATTCCATCGTAATCTTCATCTCTATATGATAATTTTTGGGTTTGAAATCACAATTTAATAACCATACATTATATTTCGATGCCCATCAGTTCTGTAGATTAACAGTTTCTGTAATCTACAAAGTTCTAACTCCGTTAATGGAATTTAATGATTGGAGTATTGTGTATTATTTCTAAATTTTGGCTTCTTAGATGTATACAATGGAAACATTGATTTCGATGATCTGATTTCGTATGGGTATATGGCCTCAAATGTTATATATTTTGGTTTTAACTGTAAATGTCACAAAGTCACAGTTTTGTATTGTTGGTATGCTATCAATGTGATATAAATACAGTAGAATGTGACCTCATTTAATAGTCATTGTGAAAGCATTTTACTATTCAATTTTGCTACTAACTGTGATACTCACAAAGTCACAGATTGGGTAAGTTGATGTGTCACAGTTATTTACTGCCTACGTGCTTTTGAAATTCAGGTGAAGTGATTGTGACCTCAATTTGTTCTTCATTTTGATCTTAACTCTATATGTCTCAACAATACATAATGTATTTTTGATGTGTTATCATGTGATTGGATAAATTGTATGTTGGAAAAAATGGGCTTGTGGATGATTTTGGCATAAAATTTGTGTTGGACTCGTTGGTCAAATTTGAAAGATAGAAGTTGATCCTTGTTCTTCTCCGTGAGAGTGTCGAAACCGTATATTTATTCACCAAAATTGATGAATGAATTAATGAGAAATTGGAGCTCAAAGATGACCATTGGAAGATGGTTTATGTGGAAAATAAAATAAGTCCCACATAAGAAAATGAAGAAAATATGAACCACTTTATATAGGATTACACTTTGAAATGATGTAATCATGTGTAGCAAAGAGGCTCTCTCCACGTGCGCATGCAGGGGGTGCAAATCACGGATCGAAATTGCCTTCGAACCTTGAACTTGTGTGTGGGCGCGACCTGCGTACACAAATGTCAGACCAAACGGAGCAAAAATTGGCCCGTTTGGAGTGTCCACGTTTTGCAATTTTTGCTTTCTTCAACTAACCTTTTGAGTTTTCGAAAACTCCCAGAAATTAAAGCAACTCTAATGTTTATTGCTATGGAGTTAATAGGCAGATTTAATCTTATAGTAAGTCTCATTTTCCAACAATTCTAACCACGAGAATACTGCATTCACACGAAAATATTATGTCAAATTAGTGTTATCTGCATACATAATCTGTTACATTTTCAACGTCATCTTGGTAGTGATATTGTTCAATACAAACTTAGTTCGTCTGAATAGTTTCTACAATGCTCAAATTTTATAGTCACCGTTGTATCCTGGAAAACGGACGCTCGGATTAAATCTCAAACACTTATGGTGAGGAAGCGAATTTGTTTTAAGGAAATGTGCTCGCATAGGCCTCAGGTTGAAAATTTATTTATCTTCTGCAATTTACATATTTGCAATTTATTCTTCCGGTTATTTATTTATTTAGGGATTTATACGTTTCAGATATATATATATATATATTGAATTTTCTTGCTAACAATTAGTAAGTGCAATTCGATATATGTATGTTACATATACAATATTTCTAGGTGTAAGTGAAAATACGATATGTGAAAAGGGTAAAGAAATATGTGCAAATACGGTCAAATGCATATAAAATAGGCAGCATATGCGATAAACTGCAAATACGGTAAACAGCATATACGGTAAGTTGTAAATATGATAAGTTGTCTGCAATTACGGTAAACTTCCTGCAAATACAGTAAGCTGCATATACGGTATGCTTAAAATCAGTATCTAAACTACATATATAGTATGCAATAATCCGATTTCATTAACACCACTATATTCCAACAAATTGAAAACAGATTCCTAAAAAAAATTTGTTTCTTATACTGTTAATTTTTGAAAATTAATTTTTTTGTTTGATTTTTAGAAATGGCAATCGAATCGACCAACGTGGATGTGACCCAAACTGTACCTACTGAAAATCAGGCTACGGGCCCAACTGTGGTTCAAGGGTCAAGCTCTGTTGTGACTAAAACTTTGGCTAGATTGCCAAGTTATGTTGTGAGTCAAACGGTGACTCCAACAACTGGCATACCGTTAGTGTTCCGGTTAATCATGGAGAAAAATCAGAGAAATTCAGTGGCTTGAATTTCAAAAGGTGGCAGCAGAAAATGTTATTTTATCTGACCACTTTGAATCTTACAAGATTTTTGACTGAAACTGCTCCAAAACTCAATGAGAGTGAGGGAGATATTCAAGCAATCAGTGCACTTGATTTTCAGACATGGCAATCGAATCGACCAACATAGATGTGATCCAAACTGTGCCTACTGGAAATCAGGCTATAGGCTCAGTTGTGGCTCAAGGGCCAAGCTCTGTTGTGGCTCAAACTGTGGCTAGATTGCCAAGTCATGTTGTGAGTCAAACAGTGACTCCAACAACTGGTCATACCGTTAGTATTCCGGTTAATCATGGAGAAAAATCAGAGAAATTCAATGGCTTGAATTTCAAAAGGTGGTAGCAGAAAATGTTATTTTATCTGACCACTTTGAATCTTGCGAGATTTTTGACTGAGACTGCTCCAAAACCCAATGAGAGTAAGGGAGATATTCAAGCAATCAGTACACTTGATTTTCAAAAATGACAATCGAATCGACCAACATGGATGTAACCCAAACTGTGCCTATTGAAAATTAGGCTATGGGCTCAACTGTGGTTCAAGGGCCAAGCTCTGTTGTGGCTCAAACTGCGGCTAGATTGTCAAGTCATGTTGTGAGCCAAACAGTGACTCCAACAACTGGCCATACCGTTAATGTTTCGGTTAATCATGGAGAAAAATCAGATAAATTCAATGGCTTGAATTTCAAAAGGTGGCAGCAGAAAATGCTATTTTATCTTACCACTTTGAATCTTGCGAGATTTTTGACTGGGACTACTCCAAAACTCAATGAGAGTGAGGGAGACATTCAAGCAATCAGTGTACTTGATGCTTCGAACCATTCGAATTTTCTGTGTCGAAACTATATTATGAACAGTTTAGCAGACACGCTGTACAATGTGTATAG